AATATGATAATAGATGGGAGAGATGGGGATCCTCCCAGCACCTTTTTTGTTAAAAGTGCGCAAAACTGTTCGTCTAACGGGTTAAAGTTACTTGAAAGTCCATTTAGATATTATTTTATTCAAGTTAAATAATAAGCAATTATTTCTACTAACTTTGTAGTAATGCAATGTAACATTTAACTTCCTCTTTCAGAGCTCTCATCTATATATAATTATTAAATATAATATCTCATATAAAACTCTTAAATACATACATTTTATAAATATAAATACCCATTACTGGAGTACAAACATTCGTGCTCAACACGCAAATGAATACCCCCAGCGGGACTCGAACCCGCGACCGATGGCACAGCAAGTAGGGTCACTATAAATTGATCCATTATGTCGTTGTACAACATTGTGCATCACTATATTATGCATCAAGTCGAATATGACAGACAGACACGCAAGTAATTGTAAAAACTGTCTTATTGGTCTAATGACTAGCAGATACGACTATACTTTCGGAGGTCCTGGGTTCGAGTCCCACATCGAGTCAAGCATGGTTATGGAATTTTTCATAAAAAAAATCTCAGTAATGATTCGAAGCAGTGAAGTGGGCAATGTCACAAGACAAGTAAAATATTAGGTAGCAGGCAAGACCTGACATGCTCCTTATATCTTACTAGAAGGGCAAAATTGTCATTGTACCGAGTTCTGAGTAAAAACAATGGCCTCTCAGTAAAAATAAGTGTCTAATTTTAGTGCATAAGTGCACACTTACGCACTAAAATATCTACTGTGCAGATGGCTAGCCACAATGAAATTGCCACCGTGGCTGAAAACAGAAAGACAGTACTAAAAATTTTCTACATATATCTGTATGGAACCCTCAAAAGATACTAAATATTTTAATAATCCATTAAAATTAGTTAAAACTATTATTAGTACCAACAGTTTAACAAATATAGTTCATTGAACATATAACATACTTTGAAAGTTCGACATTTTGCACCACATCAAATACTACAGAACTCCTTTGGTCCAACGACACTCTATGGCGTGCTTGCAGCAAAAACGCACTCTTATAATTTATAAATATCATATTTTATTATATACTTATTATTTTTATTATAACACTTTTCTCTTTACTTTCATCGAGACAATATAGACAAGTAATTCCTATCGATTATCGTTAAAAAAACTGTAATTGTACGAAAATGACATATTTTGACATAAAATTTAGATTTTATTTCCATACATTTTTCATGTTTCTATTAGCGACAGCGATTATAGATGTTTTTCTTCTATAAAGACATTACTTTCAGTTTCTACCTATTAAGACAGTGTTAGGTAGAAATCACATTGTAACTCCATCATAATTGGTAGTGCCGGATGATGTAAATGCTTATTATAGTCATGTAAAATTAGTGTTGTTTTTTGCCACACTATACTCCCATGCAATTACTTATATCTCAGTTCTATCCTGAAATGTTTATAGTTCAAAAGTGATAGTTCACTAACTTTTATTTAAATAAACTCGAGAGAAATGAAGAACACAAAGAAGATTGATTGGTGGTATATATGTATATTTCTGTTTGTCATATATATATGTATGTGTATGAGAAACATAGAAATGTACTTTATTACAAAAAACAATGAACCAGTGAACTCTGACATAGAAACACCAGACATATTTTCCAGATGGCCACCACATGGTATAAACTGTCCACTTCAAATGAAAGATAAAGTATAAGATGCGTTTCAGAGACAAGCAGCCGATTCAATCTCACTGGAAAATCTCCGCACATATCTCCAAAACTAACTAACTGTGTAAGTACTTATGTCACATTGATATTTTTTAATATAACTTTCAATTAATCTATTACTGTACCAATAATTATTTGTTATAACTATAAACTTCAGAAATTATTATAATTTATATTCATAACTAAGTAAAGTTTGAGAACTTGATCGAAATAGTTTGACCAGTTTTGGTTCAGGCACAGACATTACAACCTTGTATTGTCTGTGCGTTCAGGTAAATGTATAAGCAATTCAACTGTTACTTTGTGAAATATTTTTTAGCGTCTTCAGGTATCTTAAAGATATTTGTTAGGAAGACGGATAACTTAGTTGAAAAAGTATACTATTTTTTATTTATTTAAACTAATTGTGATCCAAAACTAATCAAAATTTAGACCAAGCATTTAATAACATAAAAATTTCATTTTCAATTCCTACTTATGACAACAGATGTCGCTACCATTAACAGAAGAAGGACAACATGAAGATATTAAAAGTATCTTTGGCAAACACATTGGTGTCATTATTTCATTAAAACTATAGTTAAGATTACGAAGTAATCAAGATTTTATAATAAAAAGACGCATTAGTATTTTTTAGGTTAACAATAACAGTGATAGGCCATTAAACGATATTTGGTAACATATACTCGTAATTATATTAAAAAGTAAAAAAAGCAGTCATGAGTAGGTACTGCCGACAGAAGTGAAAACTTAAAACTATAAGCAAACAGATGTTATTTTTAGATATTCAAATTAATTGTTTGATCTTAAATTAAATTTTATAAATTAAAACTGTTTACATTTATCTGGTTTTGACATCTATCGGCACTCTGAGTGTTAGCGTTAACACGTCACGTGACCATGTCGATGACGACTTACATGTGTTTACTCCCCATCCAAACCTGCCTATAGAAAGTTTTCACTTCAAAAATTATAATATCAATTAAATAATATAATGTATTAGTAACAACATATGCATAATATATTAAACAGCCATAGAATCACAGGGAGGAATATTTTTTTATTTTTAAAGGTTATTGATATTTATTATGAAAGTAAAAGTGGTATAGTGGGGTAATTTAATATCGAAATAAAACTATTTATTAGTCTATGGTTAAAAAACGGTGCATTAATAAATATAGCCTCTTTAATTCTATATGGACAGGTAGAATATAATATTTTAACAGATAATACTAACAAACATCGTATCTGTCGCCCTCTTACCTTTATATGAAAAAGTTTATATATTAAATGACTGCTTTGGCAGTTAAAAAGTATAAGCTCAAAATATTTAATGCCATAAGACATGTAAGAAGAAAATTTTTATACTACGTAGATGTAAAATAAACAGCTTTAGGATAATACCTAAATAATTGCAAATAGTTTAATATTTCACAAGGACATTGGAAATTTCCATTTTACATACATAATGAAGTAAGAGATCAATTACTATCTAACCGACTCTTAATTAGATTTATTAATTACCAAATTTATTGAATATTTCATTAAACTTTAATAGAAATGGCAATATTTTGGAAGAGATATTTTAACATCGAATTCGGTTTATACAAATAACTACAAAATATTATAAGTTTCTCACAGATAAAGTCAAAAATACCTATTTAACCTCCGCCTACTTCTATATTAAATTATTTATTTTAAATAATTTTATTATATCTACTATAATATTTGCTTTATTTGTGACAAAACGTTGCGTTTTGATTCCATTACGCTCTCCATCTGTGAAAAACTTTTTTGCTACTAAAACATGCATCCGATGCAATAGACACTCACAATAATTACACTTACATCTAAATTGTAACATTTATTCTCAAATAAATCTCTATTTTACCACATAAATCATCTATCTATCTATACATAACATTCTTTAACTATGCGATCATAAGACGTCGATAACTAGAATTAAGTAAGGGATCTACATTTAAAATCAACCATAAAATTTCATTGTTTAAAATTCATTGCGTGGTTCGACCAGTCGCATTACGAAACAGTTGACTAGATACTGCAATGTACAGCATCAAATGACACGTAGCAATAGGCAACATGATGGTTAAGTATAATATAAGAGCTTCAAATTTCAAACTCTATAGTAACAGAGCTTTAAAGCTATAATTTTGCTATGAATTTATTACTTTATGGTGTTCTACAATAGAGACTAAACGATGAGCTGTTACCAAAGTTACCCTGACTGAGTAGGTCAAGTAACACCATTATAATACCATGCTACGTGCCTAACGCCCGATTAAAATAATATCATTACAAGAATATCTATTTTCTATTATTCACTAACACAGAGTAACAGTTCACAGAGATAAATCATTTTACTCTTGGGATTACGAAGGCACTAGTGACCTAGTGGATTTAAACAAATATAAAGAGAGCTACTAGAGAAATTTTTGTTACCAATATTGATATGACTTCAACTATTGACTAGAATGAAAATTTCAAAACCTAATTTGTCTTTTACTAACGATTTTCAGAAGCGGTAAATCCGAAAACCTCTTTGTGGGGCAAGATTCGTTCCAACCATTCATTTTATATTTAAAAATCTTATCAATACTGTTTATAACTATACGAGTAAAAGAAACTATGGTTGGGACAGATGTTACGTTCCTATGGAGACCTAAATAATACCTTATTAATTAGATGACGAGATGCTTTGATTTGCAATAATGACTCTTTCCAGAGATCTAAATACTATTCATAACATCTTATTTTATTTAACTATCTATGTCTTAATAGAATTACAGATAATTCAAATAGTTTACAACATTATAGTTACTAGATAAAGTTTTTATTATAATTTGGATTTATTTTAAGAATCCACGACGACGTTACCATTTCATCCGAGTATTGTCCATATGGTAACATTGATTAAATATTCAAATTGACCCACTTTGGACTAACCAACTTTTATCATAAGAAGTTTAGTATAACACCAGTATTATTAAGTCTCCATTGGAAATGTTCAAATCCTCGATACAAATATGATATCCATTTTATATTAGGCAGTATCGTGTTAAGAGTAAAATCTAGTAATTGTTTGCGCGATTGTCTTTCATCGACCGTACTCGTTTGGTTACCACACTGATATATGGGAACATTCACACAGTAAACACCCATGTGTGGGAACACATTAACGTCATTTCACACGTAGCTCTCAACGTGAGCGCTAGTTGTCGGGTCCTAGAAAGACGCTTCCACAAGATAAGTCCCGTCCATTGCTACTCCAGTCTGGTTTCCTTGAACTGTGCTTCCTGCTGGAATGTACTTGCCGCATGCTTGCTGTAATAAAAATTTGTTCCAATGAAAATACAGAAAAAACGATTGATATTCATTCGTTACAAGAAATTATGAGCTTGTAATGAATTTGTTACAGTTTAAATGAACTTCTGAAAAAAATTGATGAAGTAAATTATATTTCAGTATGATATATGTAAATTTTTGTGGTATCACATTTAAATTATTTTGTAATATATTATTAAATTATTCTTGTTTATTCAATTTTAACTTTACTATTTAAAAAAATAACACAAAACATTTATTTATAAGCCAAAATTTAATCAATTCATCTACAGTACAAAAGTGTTGTATAAAGCATTCAACATCGAGAAAAAGCTAGGGAACATATTGATAGACAGAGGACCATAGAACATACATAAAGATAGATACGCCAAAAAAATATTTCGATAAGGTGAGAGCGAGTCGCATAATGTATATAAAAAGTGTATAATGGTATTTGTGCTGGAAGCATGCCGAACTGTAAATAAATAAATATTTGTTTTCTTATGTAGACCCATTAGTGTGTAATGAAAATTAGTGTTTAAAAAAATTCTGTGATATATGAAAATGTACCGGACTATGTCAGAGTACAGAAATATATTGGCCCTTTATGTGATCGTGCGTGTCGTGGATGTCGAGTAAATTTAAATATTTTAACACATTGAATAAAAAAAAATGTTTATATTGTAAAGTATATTTATTAGAGAGTATACCTACGGCCATTTAGAGTAAATAAATGAAACCAGTACTTTTATATATTCCCTTCCATTGCCATAATGTGTGCAGTGTGTTGGCGACTGCAGCATTATTTTTAACATAAATATTTGCAAACTACAATAGTAGAACTACGACATCCTTTTTAACAATTACAACACTTGTGGATCTACTTTCAAATAAAATCGCATTATTATTTCTCTATATTCAAAATAACTGGCAACATTAAAAATTTGATTTCATTATAATAATATTGCGATTTATTAACAATAAACATTATAATACTTATATAATAAACAAATTTTCAATTTTGGTAACAATAATTAAATTACGACAATAGCACCATAGCACAAGCTTACAAAATACATAGAGACACTTATTACATACAATACTTATATCTATATAAAAATACCGATCAAGCGACATTACAGCAGCCAACACCCTGCAGACATTGAAAGCCTTTTATTTCAGATACCACACAGCGACTAATAAACTTTCTTAAAGAAATGTGTAACGCGAACATGTTTATGGAAAAATAACACACTATATATTATTTTACAGGCATATCGTATTGGCCTATTAGCCTTTTTACAAACGGCCCCGTTCATTCGTCCATATATATATTTTTCTTAAATTAAAAAACCTTTATTGCTCACACAGTCTCATATTTACAATATAAAGAATTACAATTTGCCTTTGACATTTTGCAAACAGACGACGCCGCATGTATGACTAAATGAATGATACAATATGCCTGCGACATATGTATACATTATTATAAGATTTTTAAATTACTTAGAAAGTTAGAAGTATTTACAAGTGCTTATTTAAAAACTTATTCACATCAAAATGTGAAACTTTAAGATAGTTTCATATAAAACATCGCTGTGCAGCAACACTGAAAGACGTACTGGTAAAGGGTCTTCACTGGGGGCCGCTGAGACAGAGGTATCCGATGGTCGAGAAGTCGCCGTATATCTCCTAGCGCCTCGCGCTCGTTTTCTACTTGAGTCTAAAAGCAGGACCTGTCAGCCAATTTGATGTCCGCTCGTTTTAGATGAATTTTATTTTTGTTTGTTCGTTCGTGCGTTTTATTTATATATTGTCAAAATATGTTTCAATTAATCATGTAGTAAAGTGTAAAAATAGTTGGGTAAAAATGGTACTATTAGCAGTGTCTAGATTCCAAGATGTATAGGTACAAATGGTATACTCACCGTACAACACAAATAACAGAGTTCATTTAGCTTTAAATTTCGGGAATATATTACAAATTTAGTAATGTACAGCTTTTTTGTTTGGGACATAGCAAGCTCGGCCGATCGCCTGGCATCAGGAGTCACGTCGATTTGTGTGGACTTAGCAGACATTGAGCGCCATTTTGTGCTTACGAGAAAAATGCGGAAGCTATATTTATAGATAAAAGGTATTTTTCGTTTAAGCACTTAGGGGACATAACACGAGGTCTAGCCACACAAGCAACATACGGGCCATCACGTATTCAGTCAATCCTCATTTCTATGACCAAATTTTAGAATAAATAAAATATATAGTTTTAATTCCTTAATCATTAAATAATTTGAAAAGTTTAAATTATAATATAATCTGTCAAATTTAAATTATTAATATTATATTATGATTATTACAATTATTTTTTAATAAAAAAAAAACAGTTTTTTTAATTACAGACGGATTCAAAGTTATATTATTTAAAAAAAATCTTTTTATATAAAAAAAAAGATAACATAAATTTCATCTATTTATTTACTATTTCCTGTATAGTAAAAGTAATTTTTGGCCATAGAAACAATACGTAATTGGTACGCGACATAGCGCGTGCGTTTATACCTCACGGCGGGGGCACGACGCGAGGCCGATCGGACTGATGCATCGTACTGAACGACGGCGTTTCTGTTCAAAACACCGGTATGTGACATATTTTGATGTTAAATTAATAAAACTTGATGAAAAATTACAATCTAATAGTGGTCTCTGTTAGAAAAATCAAAGTAAAATTGATTGGTTAGTAATGTTAAAATTTGTGATTTTGTGAAGTAGTTGTACCTATTTAAATTATCTTCGATTCGATTTACACACGTCATTTTTTATATCTGTTCGTCTGTCTCAGTCATTTTCAAAGCTTGACCTTTCTTTAATTTCGTAAAAATTGAACACCCCAAACAATATCCTACATATACACTTAACATCTATATATAAAAGGTATACCTGGTATTTCTGTGGACAGCACCCACAGCGAGCGCAACACGCAAGCAAAGCCGGGGCGCGGCCCGAGTGTGCGGGTGATGCGAGAGGAGAAGGCGACCCAGGCCTCTTCACTGCACCATTGTATGGATTTTCCATCTCTACGAATTCTCGATCCTGAAATTAAATATTTCCTAACATTTTAAAATAATATTTTTCATAGTACTAACTTTTTAAATGTTTTTATATGTTTTTCCTTTAATAGGCTAAGGAAATATATTTTTAATTTAATTTTGAATTCTAATATATCATTCCAAATCAATATGAGTGACCATCACATAATAATAACATCAATTCATTATTATTTATTCACATTTACTAACAACTTTTTATTATTTTTCACGTAAAACATAGCATAAGTTCATATGAAGACGACACTTTAAATGAAATACATTTGGTACTAAAGGTTGATAGAAATACACTCATAAATGACCACGTCTCAGCAAACGCAGTGCAGGACGCCCTCCAGCAAAGTGGAGCGACGATATACGTAAAGTTGCTTGCAGCTGTTGGATGCGTAGGCCTGAAGATCGAGTTCAGTAGCGTGCCATAGGAGTCTATGTCCCGCAGTGGACGAAAGCAGGATTTTGAAGATGGTTGTATGGCAACATCCTCTATACAAAGCAAATATCCCTATTAGCAAACTATTTGTTTTATATCATAAAAACGACTTAATACGGTTTATTTAATGGTAAAATAGATCCATTCGTTATCATCTGAGATTAACAGGAAAGGTAAACATGGATTTGTTTCACTGATATAGAGTCAGGCAACCTTAGTAAGCTTATGACGGAGTACAAAAAAAGTAATTTGGTTAAATGTTTTTTATGTGTGTATGTGACGCGATATCATCAATTATGAAACATATATTTAGAAATTAATGGTAGGAAGAGGTGAACCCATATTAATAAAATTCATCACAAAGTATAGAATAAGAAATAAAGACTTAAAGTGATTTTGAATTCAATAGACTTTTTTATTTAAGACTTAAATATTTCACACGTACCGTAGTCCGTTCCAAACACCTCAACAGATGATGATGCTGCAATTCGAAAATATCTTCATCTCGTCCCGCGTCATCTAACTCTACGCCCGACTCTTGCGCAGCGAGGCGAGCTTCGGCAGCTTTCTTCTTAGATACAAACGCCGCGCCGGACGAGGCTTTGGCAATACGTATGCGCGCCAGGCGAGCTTTCTGTAACGTAAATATTACTTATAGGTATTTCATTTTACCAATATCACTTTCATCATTTACATGCTATTGAAAAGTCTGTTAAATTCAGCTAAGCTGTATGTTTTGTATCTTCTTCTTCCCCGAGTTAAATTAAATAACCTGTGCTATTTTAGTCCAATCTTTTATTTGCCACTGAATTGCCAATCGTTTTGTAGGTTAATATGGAGTGCACAAAAAGATAGATTGGTAAAAAATTACAATTATAAACACGCCTGAACCTGATGATGCGTTTAATGAATAGGACATAATCAAAATAGAGAATTTCTGGAAAAACAAATTTCACGCAAAGCTAAAATATAAAGTTAGAAAATTTTCTATTATACCCTCTGCGCCTTCCTCTTATCAGCTCGCTGGTTCTGATGGTAGATACGAGAGAAGTTGGACACGATGACAGGCACTGGAAGAGCGATTACCAGCACACCGGACAGAGAGCACACGCCGCCCACTATCTTGCCCGCAATAGTGCCGGGCACCATGTCGCCGTAACTGAAAATTGGATGAGAATTAAAATATTAAAATCGTTTTTTTTTTCACAAGAAAAAAGCGAAAAAAAGTTTCACGGCAATTTCACGCAAACGTGACTTGTATAGTAATTATTAAGTATACATTTGTTTTCTATGTTAAAATGACAATTATATACTTATATACGATAAAATACGAAATACCAACGTTAAGATTCTGATTTGGTTTGATGATAGTTTCTATAATTTAGGTGGTCACTAATAAATAATTAATATAAGATCGAAGATAAAACTGATTTTATGGCCAAATCTTTATATAATAAAAATATACGTTACATAAAACTATAAAATATCATATAATATTTTTTTATATAATAAATTTTCTGGTACAAAACATAAAAAAAATACAAAAGGCGGACTTAACTCAACAAGAAGGTTTTACCTTCTCTAACCGTCAACCTTTAGGTCATTTAGAAAATCCATACACATACATATGTATATAGATGCGATAATCATACTCGTAATATTATAATATTATATGTCATTCCCGCATATTTTTTATCGTATACTTCAACGATTTTAGCATACATCTTTTCTAATCCTTCTCGTTCAATTATTATAATATTTATTATTATTATATTTTGATAAGGATAATAGAGAATACTTTCTCAGATTTACGCGAATATTTGACATTTTAAATAAAACAAAAAATAATTAAAAATTTTAATATTCTATTATGGTTATACTAAGTATAATAATAGCAACTCTTAATAATATTAGGAATTAATAAAGTTTGAGCAAAATTGTAATGTTTATAATAATAACAGCTAAAATTAAATCAATAATATTGCTATATTTAATTATAATACTTATTAAACACATTTAAAATGTTTTGAATTAAATTTCAACAAATATTGTAAGGTACTTTGATGCCATTTTTGAATTGTTTGAAATCCTTTTTGTAAAATAGTGGGTAGGCACTGTTTGTAACAAATATGTGTTTAAAACGTCTATAACCTTAGTCTGTCCCGTGACCATGATTGCTGTAAGCCATTCAAAACGTCGGGAACCAAAAATGACAAAAATCCGCGACATAATCCGAAAATATGGTTTTATTTAAAATAGATGATACAGATTTTGCATGACATACTTCAATAAAAGTTTTTTTAGGATTTTAGAAGATTCGCAAGTTTCATATAAATTTAACAAAAAATATTGCGTTTTAACTTTTAGGTAATTCAATATTATATAAAGTGGGTATAAGATTCCTTAGCCTATAAAAGATAATAAAAGACGTGCAAAGCAAGATTTTTGTGTGTTATTATGAAAGGAACAAGTAAGGCGTGTTATTATTCCGTACATATTTTCATCCCGATTTCAGGCCCGACCTACTCTGCCTAATGGAAAATCCAACGTTGACGATGTTATCTTTAATATACTAAGTGATATCAGAATTTTATGCACAAATTAATTGAATTTTATAATAAAACATACTAAAAAATAAAAAATCGGATGACATGTCTAAGTTATTTTATCGTTTATAAGTCTATGGTCCAAGTGCATTCATACCTATAAAAGAATTAAGATATACAAAAAGTTGTAGAATAATGCAATCATTTTCGTCACTCTTTCAAACATACAAGGCTTCTTGAAAAAATATATAATATGAAGTTAGTGAAACCGTTTCTCCATTAAAGATACAACAAAAACTTTTGCAATAATATTCTCGAAAAACAAATCGGCGAAATAATTGTGAACGCTATTGTCATTTTGTTCTTCTAAAAATCCGCTTAGGCTCGGCGACTAACATGTTCTTAGTAAATAGTACTAATAACGGCTGAGCAAAGAAATATCTTGCCATTCTTTTCTTAGGATAACATAATTAATACATTATAAAAGTTAAAAAAATTGCTATCATTGAGCTTTTTTTTTATCTCTCTACATCTATTGCTTAGATTTAAAGTCAAAAATATGTTTTTATTTTTCCCGAAAAATGGTGTTTTTGCAGTTATCATTTTATTCTACGGGGGCGGCGATATGTGGATATATTTTTGAATTTTTGATAGTTACAATGTTCTTTGTTTATGCATATAAAGAGCGCGGTAGTGTGTCGATGGATCAGTTGAAGTTTGGAGCTAAGAGAAGATTGCGAAGAATTTAAAAATGAAAAAGTGAAGCGTGAAGTGTACGTGAACAGCCACAAGTGACTCACGTGAAGCTAAAGCAATAAAACATCCGTAGTGGAAGTGACGCGCTCAATTTTCCGATCCCAGAACTCTAGTAACACAATATCCTACCGTGTAGATGTCGATATTATTATAAGACATCAGCAAAAACCCTACAAAATTGAAATTTTTCTAAGAATCGCTGAAAATCCGTTTTACGAGTTCTGTAAAGATGTAGTAGGGAAATCGTTATTTGATAAACAAGATAAAAATTGACGTATTATCTTTGATCTTCAAACATCATAAGACGCAAAACAAATTGACTACATTTCCATTGTAATCTATTCTAAATTAAAAGATTATCTCAGGAAGTATACTCACGGAAGAAAACCGTTTTAAAAATACAAATATGTAAAATTTATGTAGTATATTACTCTCGTTATTGTATATTAGTCTCGCTGAGATTCTTTCGCCTGTTCTTCTTAGTTCTGAGACTTCTTCTTTCTAAACTGGTAGATCTTGGCTTGGCTCATGGCGTTCAGTAAAATTGTAATTTAATGCTAAATTAAATATTTTGAATTTGAATATGATAAGTTAGCTACAATAGGGATGCCCAAAATCATGCCATTATATTAAAAGTCTTTATTAGAGACAATTTATCTATATCTCTCTATACATATAATAAAATTGTAACTAAGCCGAATCTGTACATTAGATTTTTTTGGAAAATCTTATTGAAATAAACATTATTATCGATACTTTTTTTGCAATTAGTCAAAAACTCGAACTCACTCCAGAACTAAAACTATATTTTACAGCATATTTTTGACGAAAATGGAAAGAATTTCAATTAGATCCAAACAAATATATTTATATACTGCATCAAAAATCTATATAAATGAGACAAGATTTCAGAAAGAAAGTTCAGTACCTGTTTCTCCTCTGTTTGTCCTCCGTTTTTTTTTGTTTAGTAGCTATTGACGAGCTTTAGTGTTATCAATAAAAATATTTTGGAAACAGATAGTTTTTTTTATATATAGATAGGTAAATTATATTCATGTATGTATTCCTCAAATTTTCAATAATGATTATATACGAATTTCTATCACCAGGCGAGCACTAATAAAATAAATTATGCACATACTAGCGACTCACCCTCACTCTGCTCGGGTTCGTCCCTACTTACGTTTCAACGTTTAGTAAAGATTTCTCAGAGATGAAATATTTTCCCTGTCATCATACCAAATTTCATCCATATCTATCCACTGGTTTTCTCGTGATGCGTACTCAGACAGACAGACAAAAATTCTAAAAACGGATTTGGCCTACGTATCGATAATAATGACTATTTCAATAAGAATTCCAAAAAATATTTATTGTACAGATTCAATTCAGTTAAAATTTTATTATAATATATGTATATATAGATATAGAAGTAAAAAATTCCAGTTAGGCTATTTGTAAAACGGAACTGCCAATACTAGAACACTTCGTATACGTTATAAAATACAAGTTTTAAAATAACTATATTAAAACACAAGTATTTCATTTTATACTCGTCTTCAACAACTGACATTTTAAAAGTATGATAACCGGAAATCGTTCTATCTACGGAGGAAGTTTATTTTAATGATAATATGTGAAAATAAAAAAAGATAATATTTTTATGCAGCTTTTACTTTTTTTATTAGTTTCGATCGATTTTTTAGTTCATTATAATATAAATTTATACATATACGAGTAATAAAATACTTTATTATATTTACGTGAATAGTTGACATTTTAAATAAAATTGTTCTCTCTCGTGACCATGATTTCTGTAAAGCATTCGAAACGTCGGGAACCAAAAATCAAAATAAATCCGCGAAGAAATCCGAAAATATAGTTTTATTTAACATATAATAAAATTCTACAACTAATGCGTAGCAAAGACAAAACAGTTGAGTACCTTTTTCTTCTCTGTCTGTCAACTGGTTTTCTTTTTTTTGTTTAATTAGCTATTGACGAGCTCTAGTGTTATCATTTAAAAAAAATCTATATTCGAAAAACCAGTTCTGGTAACATTACAAAATCACTTCATATAAGTTATAAAAAACAAATTAAAAAAAACCATTAAAAACATTGAACAAGTAGATATTTCATTTCTTACTTCTCTTTAGTTTTTACGTTTTTAATAGTGGTTACTCTTACGCGGCTATCACTATTTTATTGCGATTTTATAACCCCTATAATATATATATAAATTACTATTATAATAATAAAGTTGCCCACAGCACTGTTTGTGTTTGTTCGGGCAAATTTTAAAAACTATCGTACGGATTTGCATGCGGTTTTCACCAATATATAGAGAAATTGATCCCCCTCATATTGAAGGAAGACCTGTGCCCAGCAGTGGGACGTTAAAAAAGCTGAATACGTAGATTAGCTGGGAAGATACTAGAAGCTATAATGAACGTTTAAAAATAAAGATTTTGCAAAAATAAATTACCGGTCGTCCCTTCTGAGAGCTACCATCGATACTAAGATTATAAAATATGTGAAAATAGGTCTGTCTGTTACCTTTTCACAACTAAACTGCTGAACAGATTTCAATAAAACTTGGCAAGGACATACATAAATTGCGTCCTGGGGACACAAATAGACTATCTTCAATCCCATCACATACCACAAGAGCGAAGCCGTGGTCAAAAACTAGTCATATTTTAAATTGGAAGGGTCACTAGTATAAAGAAAATCATTGAATAAACAAATTTTTACCTTGAACTATTCCAGTTTTGCCGCAAGAATAACTTGAAAGCTAAGCGGAAATTAGACTGCAAAATAGAATTGCCTTTTACGTGCATTTTGTGCATTGCGATAC